ACCCATAATCCCCTCTGTTTCAGCCCTGTTTCCAAAGTGCTGATTCTCTGTCTGTTACTTTAGATGAAAATAAGGAGCCCCTCCCCACGCCCCTCTGAGAGATATTTGGTTAAAGAGAACTCAATGGAGCTCTCGGAGGAGATTCAGGTGATAAGGGGAGGGGGGGGGGGGTTACCTTGGTTGGTGATTGGCTAATGGTTACACAAGCCAAAACATCGTTATGACATCATAAAGTGGCCAAAATCTGATCAGCTCATTTTCCGACAGGTTTTTATAGAAATGGATCAAAAAGAGAGAGAATCTTTGTTCCTGAAACTTTCAGAGTCTCTTTCCACAGAGGGGACACATGTTGATGTAGAAGAGACATGAAGAAGAGGGGACGCATGTTGATGTAGAAGAGACGTGAAGAAGAGGGGACACATGTTGATGTAGAAGAGACATGAAGAAGAGGGGACACATGTTGATGTAGAAGAGACATGAAGAAGAGGGGACACATGTTGATGTAGAAGAGACATGGAGAAGAGGGGACACATGTTGATGTAGAAGAGACATGAAGAAGAGGGGACACATGTTGATGTAGAAGAGACATGGAGAAGTGGGGACACATGTTGATGTAGAAGAGACATGAAGAAGAGGGGACTCATGTTGATGTAGAGGAGACATGAAGAAGAGGGGACACATGTTGATGTAGAAGAGACATGAAGAAGAGGGGACACATGTTGATGTAAAAGAGACATGAAGAAGAGGGGACACATGTTGATGTAGAAGAGACATGGAGAAGAGGGGACACATGTTGATGTAGAAGAGACATGAAAAAGAGGGGATTCATGTTGATGTAGAGGAGACATGAAGAAGAGGGGACACATGTTGATGTAGAAGAGACATGAAGAAGAGGGGACACATGTTGATGTAGAAGAGACATGAAGAAGAGGGGACACATGTTGATGTAGAAGAGACATGGAGAAGAGGGGACACATGTTGATGTAGAAGAGACATGAAGAAGAGGGGACACATGTTGATGTAGAGAAGACATGAAGAAGAGGGGACACATGTTGATGTAGAAGACATGAAGAAGAGGGGACACATGTTGATGTAGAAGAGACATGAAGAAGAGGGGACACATGCTGATGTAGAAGATACATGAAGAAGAGGGGACACATGTTGATGTAGAGAAGACATGAAGAAGAGGGGACACATGTTGATGTAGAAGAGACATGAAGAAGAGGGGACACATGTTGATGTAGAAGAGACATGAAGAAGAGGGGACACATGCTGATGTAGAAGAGACATGAAGAAGAGGGGACACATGTTGATGTAGAAGAGACATGAAGAAGAGGATTTTTGCATAATAGGTGACCTTTAATATAACATGTTTGTATTGTCTTTTGATGCATGTGTGGATTATGAGACCAATAATGGACCCCTGGGATCAGTCATGCAAAAGGCCCTATTACCTATACGAACCAGAAACACACACTTTTGGTTGTAGTTTTGGGTCTATTTATGGCCATTTTGATGGGTTATTTTGTGACTTCTTAAAGGTGAGGTAAGTTTGAGAAACCGGCTCGAGATACACTTGTTGTTATATTCCATGGAATGCTCTTAACATCCCGATAGCAATGAATATCTAAAATGCTTTGACAATAAATACATTAAAAAATATCATCAGTGGAAGCCGTGGCGCTGTAAATAGCACGACCAATCATCTGAGCCGGCCCGGCTAAAGTAACTGGATGGCCTACCTGCCTGTCAGCCTTCCATCTGTGCAAAAACTTATCTCGTGCCCTCATTGGTCATGTGCGCGTTCGTGTGTGTTGGAGGAGGGGCTCTGTAAGGAAGTCTGAAGGAAGTGGCAGATTTCTTCCGGCAGTGTATTTTCAAATTATAGCGCACTCGAGCTGGTTTCTCCAAAATTACCTACCCCACCTTTAAGTACATTTTGCCTCTGTGGTAATTTTGAATCTTATTGATGTAGAAGTGCCGGGGAAATAAAAATGTATTTAAAATGTTTTACTGTATGTTGTTGCATCCATGTGTGGATTTTGAGACCAATAATAAGCTTTTATTTATCCTACAAAACCACTTCTAATTAGCACTGGAAAGTCGATTAAAATCAAATCATATGAGCGGATGATCTTCCAGAACTCCTCACTGGTGAGAGGGAAACTGAGCGGTCCATTAAGCTGACAGTAAACAGGAAGTTGAGTCCATTACTCCTTCCTGTTGCAGCAGGTTAATAGCATCCTATGAAACCTTGTTAATACTAATAATAATGAATCCTGCCATGAAATCTCGTGTGTGTGTGTGTGTGTGTGTGTGTGTGTGTGTGTGTGTGTGTGTGTGTGTGTGTGTGTGTGTGTGTGTGTGTGTGTGTGTGTGTGTGTGTGTGTGTGTGTGTGATGAATCATTCAGAGCTCTTCCTGTGTGTTTACTGGCACTGACTCAGTGTGTTGCCATCATGCAGAGCTTCTCGATGTAAGACCGAAGTACTCAGATATTTAAATTAAGTAAAAGTATCTTTATTATAACTATAATACACCACTGTATACGTTGCAATGTACACCTTTTTACATTTATTTGTAGTACAATATGCACATTTGAAATGTAATGTATTATTTTTATTTAAATATTTTTATTCATCCTTTCATTAAACATTTTCTTCTTGTGTATTTATAGATATTTTGTAACGTTTTTGAATTAACCCCCTTAAGATAAATAAGAAATGTATTTGATAAATGCAGTTTAAAAAAATTAAACAATGAACTTAATCACAGACTTTACTGCTTTGAAAATGGTACATTTCTTGGAGAGAAGAATGAAAATTATCAGCAAGATATCACATATTTGCAGCCTCATTAGAAAATGACTGATTTTAGCTTTTCAATTTACAAATAGTGAAAAGAGTATGTGATGTTCATTCTGAGGCACCTTACATTTGACCAAGGCCCTGAGACAGATTAAGGAGAAGCTGGTCACATTTGCGAGCTAAAAGATGAATGCAGGATGCCAAGAAAGCACGTCGGTGAATAATTGAAGGAGGAACCAGCAGCCAAGGTTCCTGTCAGTTTGAGTTCACTTCTCCTGCAGAGGCCTCACCCTTTGCCGGCTCAACCTGAGAATACTGCTGCTGCTTCTCCAAAAACAAGCCAAACACGTCAGCTAAAAGTGGGTCAAACCAGATCAACTCTATAGTAACTAAACAGCTGCATTAACCCATTTTCACTTAAATGTAACCAGTCAATTTCCCTCCTCCTGCAGGACTGTATGTGAAGTAACACATAGGCATGATACATACCTGGATAATGATCATAGCATTCATGATTAGTATAGATATGGAGATGATAAGGGCTATTTCCTAATGCATTATTACATAATGTACTGCTAAGTGCAGCACAGAGCATCATAGGAGGCTCAGTGTGACAAACACAGTGAAATCAGAAGGTTATTTGCAGGCCTTTTGGGGCCTGGACCGCCCAAACAGAGGCTTTCCTGCATGAAAAAAGCACCACTATAGGCTATAGTGCTGGAATGGTCTGCTCGTTTATGCATATTAGCTCGAAATGCATGCAGGGACAAATAGGGGGTAAAATATATGTAACATTAGGGGTTATATTGTTATTATTATTATTATTATGGGTTTGAAATAAAAACAAACAGGTCGTAATTTGACTGAGAAACAAGACTGTAATGGAGGAATCTGGAGTAAACATGTAATTGGCTGCATTGCTTACACGCCTCGACAGGAATAAGAAAAAATGTACGTCAAGGAGAGAATAAAAAAACGGAATATTTGTACGTACACTCACCCCAGCTGTCTCTCTCTTTGCGGTGTTTAGCCATGTTCCTGTCCTTTAAATCCCTGCTGTGTTTGTGCGAGAATCAGCGACCCTACTCGGTATTCATGGGTGTCTTAGGGCGGGGAGGATGCTCATCTCCTCCGGAACGATGCTCGATGCTCCGAGGAGGATGATGGAGCTTTTTATTCCTGCAGGATCTCATGCGTGCAGACAGGGGGCGCTGCTGTCTGTTGTTCCTGCTAATGTAGCAGCCTAATAATGCAGGACAAATACATGTGGTTCAGAGGGAAATGTACTCAAATGAGTGCAACCGCTGAGTATGTGAGGTATGTTTGCAATGCAAGGGTTTTATTGATGCTGTTGTGAGAAAGAAATACCATTTGTCGTCAGCAGGTGGCGGTAGGGACAAAGAGAATAAGGACTACGTGCTGCCTTCAAGGTCTGTCGTAAATATCTATACTAAAACAACATTTATGAATACACTAAGATTGATGGAAGCTGTTTATGTTAGCATTTTGTTTTTCAATGTGGAGCAATTTGAAATTGTCAAAATTCTGAGAAAAAAGTAAAAACTCGAAAAAAGTCTAAATTCTGTGAATATAGTACAACTATCTGACAAAATAGTCGAAATATGAACAGAGTAAACATTCAAATGATGTGAGAAAAGTCAAATATCAGAGAAAAAAGTAAAAAATTCAGTGAAAAACCTGAAAAAGTAAAAATTCTGAAAAAAATGTGAAAAAAAGTCAAAATTATGTGAAAAAAAAAAGAATTCTGTCAAAGTTACATCATAACACAGTTCTTTGATTTGGCTACTTATGCATCAACATACAGTAAACAATACACTTCATATCATATGGTCAATCTAGGCTTTTCTGTTAACTATAGCTGTCATACAAAAATAAAAAGTACAATATGTTATTTTTGTTAGAATGAAGCAGGAATTGTATATACTTGAAGTTCTTAAGTTATTATAGTACTCCAACAAAAAGTTGGTGCATAATCATTTACATAAAACAAAATCACTGTTATGGTGCAACTGAGCCTCACAAGCATTTGTACATGCTTTGATAAAAAAAACAATAATTGCTTATTAAAGTTATTTGTATTTAATGCTAGAATTCCTGCTGAGCCGTGAGGGAGACGGAGCCTTCTTCTTCTTCTATTGTTTTATTAGCAGTAGCTCGCATCCATGACGTTGATGTACTGCCCTCTAACGGTTCCTTCACTCCCTCCAGGTTTCAGAGTTAGAGACGGAACAGCAACTGAAGTTTATCTCTATTTCCTCGCCAACAAAAAGGGACGCTTTTCTTCTGTTTTTGGACTTTTATTCGACGCCATCGCACGTGTTTAAAAGTTGAAATGCAAGGCGTTGTCGTCCACGCTGTCTGCATTGTGAAAGGTGAGTGAAAGTTAGGGGCGAAGCTAAATTAGCTCGCTAGCTGTTAGCTTAGCCTGGATGCTAAGCCTGTCTAATAGTGACATTTGGATCAGGCTATTTGCTGGAATGACCCCAGTGTCAAGCCTGTCTGTTAGTAATATTTGAATCTGGCTATTTGCTGGAATGACCACATATTCAGTGCTAACTCAAGCTAATGTTGTTTTAGTGGGCAGGACGAGCTCTTCGTAACTTTAATTTGAGTTTACGATCAATTAAATTGCTAGGTTATGCTGCTGATGTTGTTGTTGGGTGACATGTCATGGTTTGCAGAGGTGGAAGAAGTATATTTTACTGAAGAAAAAGTAACAATACTACATTGTAAAAATACTCTGTAACAAGTACGCATTTTCCAAAATGGCCCAAAAAAACCATTACATTATTGTTTTATCAATATTAATGCATTAAAGACACTTGGTAAAAGTGGGGATTATTTGAATCTCTTTGTGTACTGCTGGGTAGCTTGACCCTAAATGCTTTATTGATGGATTTATATTCTGTAATATAAATCGAAATGCAAAGTAGCTTGTAATTCAATTAGGGAGAACATGTAGTGGAGTAAAAAAAGAAACAATGCCTCCAAAATGTAGTTAAGTAAAAGTAAGTAAGGAGGAAAATACTCAAGTGAAGTACACGTACCTCAAGTATTGTGCTTATCCACATCTGATGGTATGTAACACAGTTGCTCTTAGATGAATTTAAGGTAAGTGTTTGTCAACGTTGTGTCGCCATTATACACTTTCTTAGTACTTTGTTCGAGATTTCACTACAAGTTTAAAGTTATATAATTATTAATGTATCTAAAGCAGCATTTCCATGTCATGTTAAATCTTAATTTGTAAAGTAACTCCAGATGTAAAGATGGAGTTTAAGTATATAGTGGCATATCATTGAAATACTTGTATAACCAGTTGTGGAGGAGGTACTTTTATCTTGTGCTTACAGCTCTGTAAAAGGAAAGGTACAATATGAAATCTTGATCTTTTGTAAAAGTGCAAATATATTAACAGCAAAATGTAAAGTGCAAAAAGAAAACTGGCTCCTTTCAGAGAGTAACATATCCTTATACAAATCATAATTCTAATGTTTTAACATGTAAGACGCATTTCTCTACGTGTGTCTGATAGTTTAATCTATATCACAGCTTCATATTTAAGAAGTTGACGTGTTTGGTTTTAAACATCTTTATCTGTCAGAAGGATAATGTAATGCAGTCAAATGTACAGTGTTTGTCTCTGAGGTGGAAGTGCAGAGCAGCATACAATTGAAATACTCATGTCACCAGTTGTGGATGAAGTACTCATATGTTTTTATTGTAGTAAATATAGCAATACTCCTCTGTAAAAGTGCTATGTTAGAAGTACTACAAGTTCATTGTTTTACTTGCAACATCCATGATGTCCATAGCACAGTCGTATCGTATTGAATCATCTTGTTTAGTATGTAAAACAAGAATCTGTACATTTATTCCAGCTGTGGAATAAATGTATTGCCTCTGAGATGTAGTGAAGATTAAAGTGGCATAAAAAGGAAATACTCAAGCACCTCAAAATTGTACTCAAATACAGTAGTTGAGTAGTACATGTTTTTGGTTACTTTCCACGTTTAATGTCAGGTTTTCTTAACACTTTTCCACCAAATCTTCAATCCATCAAGTGATCAGTTTAGTATAAGCAGTAGGGCTGCAACAAACGACTCATTTGATAATCGATTAATTAAACGATTAATCGACTATTCGGACTATTATGCCTTGCACAATTTCTCAACTTTTAGATTTAGCTTGAGGTTGTTTTAGGCATGTGGAAACTAACAATGAAGATGAACACTTGATTCAAAAATACATAGATTATAAATTAACTAAACAAATTTTGAACAAAACTAACATTGCTTTTTATTTAAATAAAATAAATAATATTTCACATCAAAAGAAACGACAATGTTTTAACAAATGGTATTAAATAATCTGAGGACAGAACTGTTAACAGAATAGCTGAAACTTTTACGAAATAAATAACTGTTACCTCTCATCATTAACCCATGCTTGTATCATGTAGTTAACTCCGTGTGTTGCTGTCGTGGAAACGTTACTCGTGGATGGGGCTACAGAGCTGCTAGAAAGACAGTCGAACCCGGTGCATTCCTCCGTCTGAATGTGGAGCACTTTTGCTAAATGTTTAGACACATTGCTCGTGTTACCGCCCTCACATGCTGAACTCTTATTGCACTATTGGCAACGAGCATTGTTCACATCTTGCAGCGCTTCTCTCCGCCATCCCCGCCGTGTGTTGCTGCATGTAGCAGCCGCGTGTGTGTAAACTGCCCCGCCCCCTCGCACACATACCTCATTCCCACCAACGGTGTTTCAGGGCCGGTTCGGAGCTGCAGCTTGAAAAGCACCGGGTTTTCCTGTTCACACCGCAGCGGAGCAGCCTCTTAGCTCCGGAATCCGGTTTGTTTCAAGCATCAAAAAATTGTCCGGCTAGAGCAAAAGCACCGCATACGTCACGCTTACGTCATGACGCAAACGATGACGCAATGACGCAGCACCAGTCGGACTCTGGGCGGTGTGAAAAGAGCCGGAGCTAAACCGAAGAACCGGTTCTGAACCTGAAAAGCTCTAGCACGGAGCTTGAACCGGAGTTGCGTTGGTGTGAATGAGGTAACAGACGGGGGAGAGAGATCGCGTCTGGATTGGAAAGATCGAAAATACATCATAGACGCATTTGTTTGTCTTTTTGTATATTAGAAACGAGTTGGCGACACTAAAACTGCGTTATAATGTTTTTGTAGCAATAACACATGACATATATTTTTGAAATGTCTCCAGTACCGATAAAAAGACAGATAACGTTGGAGCTTAACGGCGCGTAAAACACACGTGATGACGTCATCATCGTTGGCAACTAATTTGGTCATCCATTTTAATCGATTAAGTCGATTAGTTGTTGCACCCCTAATAAGCAGTAAAAGTTCAATGTTTTACTTACAACGTCCATGATGTCCATAGCACAGTATCGTATCATCTTGTTTAGTATGTAAAACAAGAATCTGTACATTGTTTCCAGCTGTCGAATATATGTATTGAAGTAAAAAGTACATTATTTGCCTCTGAGATGTAGTGAAGATACAAAGGAAATACTCAAGCACCTCAAAATGGTGCTAAAATACATGTTTTTGGTTACTTTCCACCTTTTTAATGTCGGGGTTTTCTTAACACTTTTCCACTAAACCTTGTCTCTGCTTCAGGACATGGAGCACGGAGGAGGACCGCCTGAGTCTCAGTGATTAACTCATACATTCAGGACTTCATCAAACCCCATCGGCCTCAGATTGGATTAACTCAATGTGAAGCAGCGTCTGGTGGAAAGCGAGCATGGATATCTACCCCCGGCCCAGCGGAGAGATCCAGAGGAGGAACCCTCAGCACGACTTCGAGCTCCTCCAGAGGGTGGGCAGCGGCACGTATGGAGACGTCTACAAGGTACAGAGAAGTCGTTAGAGCTGCTGATATGTGGCTTCAACGTCACGTGACTAATCGGCTTCATAAGAGCGCTGTTTGTTTTCAGCCGTGATAACATGTGGCTAACACATTTGGCAGTAGCTGTTGAACGAGAGCCAGGTTTCTGCATGCTTTGTTACAGCCTTCTGCAGCTACTTACATATACTTCTTATTAGCAGGAGAAACTGCAGTTGACAGCACATAAGGGTTGGATTCATACTGTTACTCATCTGACAAAACTGTCCCATGAAAACAAATTAATTAAGAGTGAGATATAACACAATTATTAGTTGATCAAAAGCAAATGGAGCTGCAATGAAAGGTAATAAGCAACAGAAATGTCTTTAAATGCTGTTTCGAGTCTCAAACCTGGAGATTTGCTGTGTATCTCTGTTTTATATTATATAACATTGAATATATTTAGCTTTTCGACTGATAAAACAACACATTTAAAGACCTCACCTTTAACATTTGAAGTATGATGGACATCTTTTAACTTTTTCGGACATTTTATACACTAAACTAGAGTGATTGATATTAAAATGAATCGTCCCGCAGCCTTAAAAATAAATAAATACACATTATGTACTCAGTCAAATGCCAAACCTTTGCTGTTTCCAGCTTAAAAATAAAACCACTTCTCTGGTCACATATGACAGGAAATGAACTGTTTTGGACAGTGGGTCACGCACAAGGAATTGTCTCGATCTTTTGAAATGTTATAAACGATTAGTGAATATTAGGGCTGAAACATTTAGAGTGAATGTGTAATCAAGATTATTTTTGGACTGATATTGCAATTGCTATATGAGTCACGATATTGGAGGTAATTAGCATTTCCATTGAAACATATTTACAAATAATCATTGTGACACTTGTCAGCTTTGCAGGATCAACATTTTAGAAGGTGTTTTGACACAGGCAGTCTTTAACACATATTGTACCATTTGGATAGTAAGTGCGATATCAATCAAATTCCCATAAACCGTTTACACTTATCTGTTAAACAAGAATTAAGATTATTATATTATAAAGAATAGTTGCAGTTCTAGTTGTTTCCCTCGTTATGCAAGATGCATTACAGTTAATTAAATACTTTCCTGAACCCGTTTGACTGAGAGATTAACAGTGACTGCTTGCCCTTTTTACCCACAAAACTTACTGTTTTTGTCCCAATTCTTCTTAGTATGATAAAAGCATGGATATGTGGTTGGTTGGAAGAAGGACAATCAATACTGTGTATAGTCAATGTGAGGTAAAGTGTGTCGCCAAGGTAACCGGTTCAAACTCAAAGTGGCGATGAGGTCTTAAAATGTATGGAAAGGGTCTTAAAAGGTCTTACATTTGACTTCAGGTCTGCATATTCAGAGGGGAAATAGACATGCACTGTATTTATTTGATCCTTCAGGTGGCTTCATCACATTATTTTGAGGTTACTAACTCAGATGAAATTGAGTCAGTTTCGCTCTCAGACAGGAACATGTGCAATCGTTCAAAGGTCAAACAAGCAGACGGTGCTGCCAGAAACTGGACTGACCCAGAGTTTAAATGTTTCTGGTGTAAAGGAAAAAACAATCTTTGACTCACAGCAGCTCAAATGTTTCCAAACTCTGCAAATAAATTAAATTAGCAGTTTGTTTGACTGGTTAATGTCCAACGAATATTGTTTTATTGCAATTTGTTTAAAACTGACGCAGTTTTAGAGGAAATTGTATCGTAGGAAATGTGTATTTATTATTAATATGTATTTGAGAGGCTTTTTTTACATTCTGCTATTTTGTGACCAGAAGATAGTGAGTATCCGTTATTGACGGCTGCAAACAAAAGTCAACCAAAATGAGCTAAAGCAGAATATTTGGTATTTGCTTCATGTTGACTTTTGGACTCCACAACGCTCTGAAGTATTTGGAAATATGTGAAACAAACCCATGCAAACACTACTGGAATCTAAAGCTTCCAATAGAACAATACTGATGACTGATACCAATAAGATAACACAAATAATGGCAATTTAAACCGAGAAGTTAGAGTATAATGTAAAAATGTGCACCTTGTTTCACAATATATAACAAGAAATATGTATCAGTGTTTCCGCCAGACCAGGGCTGAGAGGGCGTCCTCCCCGAGAGCGATACTGTCTCTTTACGTTAGTGAGCCGGATCATTTGGCTCAGCTCTCTTAAGGCGCCGGCTGTTTCGGCTCCCAAGCGGCTCTTCATGTTACCACAGTTTACCACGGAGCCTCAGTTTCCCCGCTGCGAGGCTCTGGTGCTCGCAGTTCACGGGCGTGCACCTCTAGCACCGCTCATCGCGTCCAAATCGCGCACGTTCCGTGTTGTCCTGTAGCAGGCACCGCCGATGTCGGGGAAACGATCTTTTTCCTTTTCGTTATTTCAAGCGATAAAAACTCTCGATCTTCTCTCGAATTATTAATATTTTTGGACGCCCTCGGCTCGAGTTCAGGGTGTCCCGAGCTCAAATGACGGCAAGACGTCCCCCTGGCGGAAACGCTGATATGTATATTACAATATATGGAGTTGTGTATTATTATTAGTGATGACGTAATTGCTGAAAATGATATCAATGGTTAAATATTAGCCAAAAAGTAAGTTATACAAGAATATTGCTCGAATGGGTAAAATTATTCGTTGATCAAAAGAAAATACAACAGCAATGAAAAATAGTTGGCAACTGTTTTGTTAATGGGTTTATAAAACATAATGGATTTATTCCGCCTCTTAAATCTGGAGTTTTGTGTCTTTTCTCTGTTTCAAATCATATTGAATGGAATATTTTTGGGTTATGGACTAAAAAAACAAGACATCTAAAGACTTATACAATCGAAATTATTCACTAATTCTTGACATTTGACGGTCTAAATCAAAATGTATTTGCAGTTATCGATTAATTAATTTATCCAAATGTCAAACATTGGCTTGGTGTGCCAGGTCCTCAGGTCATACACGAGTATATATGTTTTTATTATATAAAATATCTTTGGGCTTTGGACCTAGAGATGATTCCATTTCATGTTTTTAAAGCTAGGATAGACGCTATACAATCAGAAAATATTGGTGTCTGTAAATGCTACTAGTATACAAACTGTAGTATCATATAATGTCCTTTGTTTTCTGTCATGTTTGTATTAATGTTTGGAACTAATTGAAGCAGGTCACCATTGTAAAAGAGGTCTATGATCTCAATGGGTTTTATCTGTATAAATAAAGGTTTTGAATTGAATTGAGGTCATACATACACAAAGGACTTTAGAAGATGTCCCTGTAGAAAACTAAATGTTCCCAGCTTTCAAACGTTGTCAACAAATTATAATAATAATGATTAGGGGAGGCTGTGGCGCAGTGGGTTAGTGCGTTGGTGTTCGGATCATGGGAGCACAGGTTCAAACCCCACTAAATTAATACAGAACAAGATAAAACATCTACAGTGTTAAAATAAAACGATAATAAGACAATTTAAAATGTAATCGGATGTCAAAGTACACACTTAGCTGAACAACACACTGTATCCACTGTGTCGGCTGCAGAATTGTGTTGTTTATGCATCTGCCACAGTCGAGTGGAGTCTGATCTGATGACAGTTCATGCTGTCAGGGTCTCTCTCCACACAAAGCCTCTGTGCAGCCCCCCCCCCCCCCCAGCAGACCACCGGAGGAATGCAGCGCCTGGTATTCTGCAGCCGCTCGCAGGCGGAGGCTGAAATCTGATCGGCCCTGTCCAAACACGCGTTGTGAGGGTGTGTTCAGGAGCATCTCAGAGGGAGGAGAGTGGTCTTATGGCAGGGGTGTCCAAACTTTTTTCACCGAGGGCCACGTACAGAAACATATACGAAGGTCTTGGCCACTCACTAGAGGTTATCGCCTCATAAGTTCAGTTATAAATTAGCAAAATCAATCAACTGTTGGTACATGATGCTCGTGAGTGTTGGCAGCTCATCCCTTACAACAGAAGCCTCAGTGATTATAGGAAGGAGAAATAGGAAGGGTGTATTTCAAGCTTGTAAATAAGTCATTGGGCTTTTTTCTTATCAACTAAGGTATGTTAGAGAATGTTTCCAACTTGAATTGACTGCATTTATTTGAAAAGTGCGCTCATTAACACATAATATATTGTTATATTTATATTTAAGAAGTACAATACAAGATAAGCACAAGTTTCATTTATACTTTTTGAATTTGCTGAGAGCCGATTCAAAATGGTCCGCGGGCCGCATTTGGCTCCCGGGCCGTAGTTTGGACACCCCTGTCTTATGGCCTGCTGGTCTCAGATGACTTTTAACGGGCACAGCATTCCTCGCTTTGAGGATATATTACAGCTGATTATACTCATTAGAACATCTTGTTTTGCTCTATTGGTCATAATGATTATTTTGGTTCTAATATCAGACGCTGGGTTGATGGATTCAGTGTTGAAGTAGTGCAAAAATGCCAGAAAATGCCGTTTTTAGCCTCTCAAATCCAAAGATTTCTTGCTTTTATTTGTTTATTTAACATAAAAGTGAATATCTTTGGCCATTTAAAGACTTCACTTTGGACTTTTTAGAAAACTAGGATGGAAATTTTTCAATATGTTCTCACATTTTATACACCACAAGTTAGATACTAATAGTTTTCATTATCGATACATTTTTTAAATACTTTTAAGAATTAAACGTTTGCCTAGAACTACAGCAGTCCTAGTTTGGTTTTTTAAATGTGGGAAAATTGTGAAAAATGTCCATCCCAGGTTTTCAAAATCCTAGATAAAGCCTTAAATGTCTCGCTGTAGCAAATCTCCATTTTGAAGAGGCGGAAAACTGCATTTCGTGCCATTTTTGCAAATACGACGTATAACGGCAGCTTACCTTGGTTGGTGATTGGCTAAAGGCCCGTCCACACAGCGGCGTGCGTTGAAGCTTCCAACGCTTCTGCCCATTCACTTTGAATGGGGTGACGTCACTTTTAGCCGAACTGCATCGTGGGAAGCG